CGTGTTTAGAACAATATATATACTATTTTTTTAAAGTATCAAATTGAATTTTTGTACAATAAAAATCTTTCAAATGCGACTGTAGCTTTTTTTTCCCAAAAACTTTGTCTTCAAAATAAGGGCGCGTCTTATATTCCGAAAAATACGGTATATATAGAACATATTTCAGGGCTGATAATACAATAATTTTTATATGTGAAAATGCTTGTGCTACTAACCCTGATGGAGCCGCAATGACGAAACGTTGGCAAAAATAAATGTAAAAATATCTTATTATTTGGAGAATAAAACTCGTTTTTTTTATTGCCCAAGTTTTTAAATCCATCCAGAATCCACCATAAGTTTTGAAAAACAACAGAATATTTCAATCAGCATCCTTCGTAGCGTTACAGCTACATGTTACCGTCTTATCAAGAGAATACTACATTAACACAAATGTATTTTCGGAAGGTTACAACAAAAGTGGATATACAATGTATGTTTTCTGAGGAGTTACAATATTGTTTGTTTTTTTTCGTTTTTATAATACAGCGTATTTTGTTTTCTTCTTTAAGCGTCAATTTCACCGAGTAATCATAAAACTTGTTTAAATCCATTTTGAAAAAAAAAGTGAAACTAATTAAAATAATTAAACAAACTATTTCGAAATGCTAGAGTTTATCTTCAGACGTAAGCTGTTCCCTGATGGTAATTAAACGCAATGAAGACCCCCCCCCCCCGACAAAAGACAAACGAAGGTTTTCTCCAACTTCTTCGATACAAATGATTCTCCTGGTGGCTTAGCGGTTAAACGTTAGTGCTTATAACGTTAACATTCAAGGTTCGGTTTCTGCGGGTGGTTCAGCGCAGATAGCCTATTGTGTAGTTTCGTATTTAGAACAAAAACAAGTCGACATAAACAGAAAATAACGTACAAAATTCGTATTAAAGCTTCGTTTGCATTGACCATTCTGTTATCCAATCGGATCAAAAGCTTCGTCCCTTCACTTAAAACAACGTTTAATAATCGGAATTACTTTACTGATACATTCTCAAGACGTCCGCTAAGCTTATTAAACATTGGTGGGATTTTACACTGACATATATAAACAGTACCGTGATGTTATATAATCAGATTTGATCTTAAGGAATCATTTTTATCACGTTTCAGATTTATCTTTTTTTTTCTGTCCTAATTCACTCCCCGGAAGAATATTTTTACATATCTCTGGTTCGAACTGTGTGTGTGTGTTTTTCTTTCAGCAAAGCCACATCGGGCTGGCCACCGAGGGGGAATCGAACCCCTGATTTTAGCGTTGTCAATCCGAATACTTACCGCTGTCCCATCGGGTGACCTGGTTCGAAGTCCACAATGAGCTGACTAAGATGATATACGTATGTGTAGTATAATTTATGTGTTGTTTTTACTCGAAATTTGCGAAAAGCAACTAGAAAGCTATCTGCACATAGCCGTCCCAAATTTTGACGTGTACATAGCCGTCCCAAATTTTGACGTGCACATAGCCGTCCCAGATTTTGACGTGATAGACTAGAGGAAAAGAAGCTAGTCAGCACCATCCACCGCCAACTCTTGGGCTACTGTAGTCGAGTAGTGGGATTTGACCGTCACTCTTATAACGCACCCATGGCTTCAAATGTGGAACATGATTTTTTTATATTTCTAATAATGGGGTAATAACCATACAAACCTGGGATCCAAAGATTGGCAAGCTAACCACTGGGTCGCTGTAGGCTTATTTGCAGTACAACCTTATACTATAATTGTTGTTTTTAGGCCTAAAAAACGTCATTACTTTCCCCAGCCTTGGAATTCTAAATAAATAAGTAAAATAAGAGAGTTACGAGTTTCGTTTAACATAAAAATAAAATTATTCGAACGAATGATTTCTATTTTCCAGCACAATAAAAGACATAAAACAAAATAACTATACTTTTTTTTTCTTCTATAATAGTTTTGTTTCTTGAATATTGTGCGGTAATACACCAATACACGTGTAACTCAGTTTCGACTAATACGATTCAAAAGTGATTTGTGGTGTAAGCTCACGTGGTATAGGAAAGGTACAAAACTAATGGTAAAAATATTCATAAAACAAACATGATGTAGGTTGCTTTATCCTTTGTCGCCCCCGAGAGAATTCCTTCCCTTTCCAGTGTTTATTAATTCATTCCTTGAGAAAAACGTGCTACTTAATTTCTGTCCCCAGCTTCCCAGAAGAGGCTTAGTTAGATGAGTTACAAAAAAAGTCTGAATTGTTGATACATATATATATATATATATCTACCGGTTTCATAATTAGATCACGTAATTCTGAAAAAAAAATTAAGCTTAATTCAATTAACCTCTTGTTCTTATAAAACATAGACGTTTGAATAGTTTTTTATGTTGCTTTACTGCATTTTACTCGGAGAAATTGTGTTATTTTGGGTTTATATACTTATACGTTATTTGAAACCACGCTCATGTATCATCTTGAGAAAGCTGGAGGATACTACCAACAAAATTGTAAACTACAATTTACTAATCTTGTTAGAATGACTACGTTCGTCCCCCTCCCTTCTCCCCAGGTAGTTCATCGGTAAGTATAAGGGCTTATAAGTTATAAGAACAAAAATCGGGTTTCGATACCCGCGGTTAGTGCAGCGCAGATATTTTAATGTGTAGTCCTATTTTTTTTTGCTTAATAATAAAGTAAATAAGTTCACTTTAGAAGTTAACGGACTTTACACTATTTTATTCTAGTCTGAGCCCATAGAATTTTGCTAAATCTAAAGATAAACATTATACTTGAGCTGGTAACTTACCAACAAAAATAAAAGTTTGTAAGAACCAACTAACGACCGAGTTGGTTTTGGAAACTCATACAAAGCCGTACAAGGACTATTTGTGCTAAGCTATCCCTAAGTTTGAATTGACAGACTGCTGATCAAATAATAGGATTTGACCTTCATTTTTATAACTCACTCATAAGCCTAATGTGCGGAGCGCGTACTTGCGGCAACGAGACGCGAGCCTTGGATCCTATGACCGACAATCCCATTTATTCATGCTCGTTTTTTAACTACAAATATAGACATTATTGACTTAGAGTTAAATTAGCCACCTAGCCTTCAAATAGACTTTTTTATACATTTCTTAAGAAGGCTAACACTTGTCACTTTGGTGTTTTTTATACATTTCTTAAGACGGCTAACACTTGTCACTTTGATTTTTTATACATTTCTTAAGACGGCTAACACTTGTCACTTTGGTGTTTTTTATACATTTCTTAAGACGGCTAACACTTGTTACTTGGGTTTTTTATACATTATTTAAGACGGCTAACACTTGTCACTTTAGTTTTTTATACATTTCTTAAGACGGCTAACACTTGTCACTTTGGTGTTTTTTTATACATTTCTTAAGACGGCTAACACTTGTCACTTTGGTGTTTTTTGTACATTTCTTAAGAAGGCTAACACTTGTCACTTTGGTGTTTTTTATACATTTCTTAAGACGGCTAACACTTGTCACTTTGGTTTTTTTATACATTTCTTAAGACGGCTAACACTTGTCACTTTGTTTTTTTATACATTTCTTAAGACGGCTAACACTTGTCACTTTGGTTTTTTTATACATTTCTTAAGACGGCTAACACTTGTCACTTTGGTTTTTTTATTACATTTTTAAAGGCTTCTTACTCCGTCTAGGAGATGTGATAACCCGAAACGTTTCGGGACAAAATGTTTGAAACCTAAAATGGTAAATA